CTGAGCTTATCGCCCTCGGATTTGATCCAAGAAACGATCTTCCCCTTGGTCATCGTCGACGAGTCCGATAAGGCCTCATTTTGTGGCGATATCTATGAGAAATTATGACAGTGTTTAATGAGCTTTGGAAAATCACTGACCAAACTAAGGTTATATAAACCATAGTCATTCTAAGCATGAGAGAAGAAATTAATACTCATAAACAGAATCTATAAGAAATTAAGAATAGCTCTCATCTGAAACTAGATCAGGCATCAAAGTAGGGTCCGGTTCCATTTACTTCCCACATAGATAAGAACCAACATAGATATCTCCAAGTATTTATCTTGATTGCATACAAATTCTAATAATAGAGCAGATCATTGAAATTAAAGATAAAATCACATATCAAAGGATGAATTGAAAGAAAAAAAAACCTGGTATCGAGAGATGTGAACGGGTTTTTGTTCGGAGATAGTGCTGTGAATCCCCCTGCGCTGGTTGAAAACAATTCCTCCAACCAGCACGCTTCCCAATGTTGCGCCTTTGAATACGCTCCTGTAAACGAATTAAAATTTTCAAATACCAAATGTTTTTCCTCGTATTTGCTTAGTTCTGCTTCGCAGCTCGATCAGATGAAACAAAGCACTCATCCAAACCAATGGGAATAATTAGGGGCAAAAACCTAAGAGGTGATTTTAGAAGGGGATAGAAATAAGGAAACGGAAAAACAAACGGGAATGGCGAGCGCACCTGAGCGAGGACGCTAATCATCGTCGCCGATTACTTTCCTTCGATTTGCTTTTCCCTGATTCCTCTTCGGATCGCCACAAAATGAGGCTTTTTCCCTGCGCGGATCTTGGCGTGGATTCTGGTCGGGGCCCGCTTGGCGCCGGGGACGGCGGCGGGGAGCTTGGGAGTGGAGGGGAGGAAGGAGGTGTTGAGGAGGGAGGCCATGGATTAGGGTTAGGGCTAGGGCTTGGATTTGGGGGAGAGAGCTAGGGTTAGGGTTTGAGATCGTGGAGATTGAGAATGGGGTAGTTATTTGGAGTCGGTCGACATTTTGGCTTCGATGACATCGAGAAATGGGGGCGGAGATTGCAATGGTTTTTTTTTTCTTTTTTTCTTTTTTTTTTCTCTTTTGATGGCGGGCTTCGCTCCCTCGAGAGTCCTGTTCATAGTAGATAGTGTGATTTGCAGAGGGACATTTTAATGGGACCACAGTTTTTTTAAGGGGCTGTTTGGTTCGTTTTTTAACTCGGTGGAAAAGTTTTACACCGTCTCCACATCAGATTTTTCATGGCCACATAGGATATAAGCTTTCCGTTGGTTTTTTTCCCATCTTTGGTTCGGAAAATCGCCGCCACATCAGATTTTTTTCTCTCCCCCAATTCCTTCCTCAACCTCGTGAAATCGACGAAAACTGCAGCCACGTCGGCTTTTTGCCATATAAACAAAAGTTTTTCCTTTTTTTCCATGCGAACCAAATACAAAAAAAATAAATACATTGGTTTCCCACCATTTTTTTTCGTGCGAACCAAAGAGAAACAATCTATTTCTTGGAAAAGTTTGGAAAACTCAAAACTTGTGTTTTTGTACATGGAAATGTATTTTCCTATATCTAGGAAACGAACCAAACAGCCCCTAAGCATATTTTGCAGTGTGGTCTTGTTCATTTGGATTATTTGTACATATAGATCACTTTGGGCTATTTGGTTGGATGTAGGAGGTGTTTGTTTACACGCAAATGAAGGATGAAAGTGAGAAAATGATTTTTTTAACATTTTATGTGTTTGTTTGCATGCATGTAGTTATGAAAGTGAAATGGAAGACAGTTGCCACATAAGATTTTATACACTTTTGATTTCCCCTAAAAAAAGTGGTGAAGTGACGTGAAAGTGACAAAATTAATAACAAAATTTAATTAAATGATTTTAACTACATGTACTAATTAATTTAATTTTGTCACGTAATCTTCACATTGCACTTTCAGCAATAAATTCATATTTCAAACAAACATTGTATTCCACTTGCACGTCAACATGGATGTGAAAGTTATTTACCAAAAAAACTAACTTACATAATTTCAATTCACTTTCGAATGGTCAAACACCCCCATAAGTAGAGTTGTAACGGTAAATAGAGCAATCAGACTTGTAATACGTTATTTGGTTTATATTTTCTATAATTAAGAAAGGTACATAGACTTGCATTTTATATAAAAAATTTGTAACAAATACTACGACCAATTTGGTGGGACGAAAAGCTATGGGATTCAAAAATAAAAACTAAAAAATAAATATAACTTTTACCTTATCCAAAAAAACTTTTTAAATCCAAATAGAATCCTATCTCCACCAAAGTTTCCTTAAATTATGTAGCTTTTTGCACTAGTTATTTTGAAACCAAACACTAAATTTAACATTGAAAAAGTATTTCCTAGCTAGACTACAATTGTAAACATCTAAATAGTGAATTCTGAAGTTGATTTCCAATAGCAATGCTGCTTGGAAACATTTGATGCAATTTATTTTTGAAGCAAACCAAACAGTCCAAGTTTTTTTTGTTTATTTTATTGAACACTCATCCATAAAGTTCAATCTTTTGGTTATTTTTTGTGTTTTTGATTAAAGAGAAGGGTTAACATAGTTAGCCTATGTGCTAATCCAAATGGTAAAAATTTTTAATCCATGTGGTTAGTTTATTTTAATCTTTTTGATTATTTTTTGTGTTTGGGAGTAAAACAGATTATGACCATTTAATTTATAAGTAGAGAAGTTATCTCTTAATCCATCTAGATAGGTGAATTTTTGAACCATTCCTTTTGAGAGGTTAACTTAGCTTTAACCCTCTAGAGGGATTTGTAAGTTCTATTATTTGTTGTACTTGGCAAATCATGAGAGATTAAGTTAGTTTGCATACTGTACAATTTCTTTTTTTTTTTTGTGTTTGATATCCTCAAGTATTGTTAACTCTTCTTAATTCGTCACTTAATCCTTTAACAAATGTGACCATTGTGTTTATCTTTCTTGAAAGCATGTGCTATGCAAATAGATGATTATAGAGTATTTTTGTTTTGTATAAATATTTAAACTTAATGAATCTATTATAATTATTGCAAGAATGAATCTACATTATTTTATCACATATGAAACTTTCTGAAAATATAAGGGTTAACATATGTTAAAGCTCTGCTACAACAGGCCCAAAAAAAAGCACTCTGTTGTTACTTTCTTCCTTTCGCCTGCTTGGATTGGATGCTAACTTCATAAACGCAAGATTTTTATTTTATTTTATTTTTATTTTTACGAACTTTGTAATTGTTTGTTCCTTGGCATTTGGCAATTTTTGTTAAATGTTTGTTTAAACCCAAAAAGTAAGTAAGGATTCTATCAGAACATCTAATAGAAACAACGTGATCTATACATGTCATTAAAATGTTAGTATGATAATTCTATTAATAGTGTAAATCATTTCATTCCTATGGGTTGATTCTGATGAAATCCCTACAACCAAAAAGTTAAAGTCAAATTTAATGATTGTGCAACCTCTAGAATCATATTTCAAATTTAATGATTGAGCAACCTCTAGAATCATATTTCATTCTTTACTTATTTGTACTAGGATTAGGTCATCTACTCCCCGTTTGGCAAATGGTTAATGAAGAGGGGTTAAAGAGAAGGATTAATGTACTTAGCCTATTTGATAATCCGAAGGACTAAATTGAAGAGGGGTTAAAGAGAAGGATTAATGTACTTAGCCTATTTGATAATCCGAAGGACTAAATTATTAACCCGTTAAATAAGTTTTATTTTAGCCCTTATGATCAGTTTTAGTGTTTGGGAATAACAATGATTTTGACTATTTTCTTTATAATTAGAAGGGTTAACTCTTATTCCATCTAAATAGGAGTATTAGTAAACCCCTCATTTTGAGGGGTTAACTCATTTTAACCCCTCTAGAGGGGTTAACTTAACCCTTCTATATTTATTATGTTTGGCAAATTATGGAGGGTTAACTCACTTTAACCCTTATATAGATTTGTTATCTTTGACAAGTTAAGAAGGGGTTAAGTCTCCTTAACACCTCACTTAACCCTTTGCCAAACGGTACCGAATGAATTTATTTATTCATTTATTGCTTCTCTTATATTGGATTTTTTTCCTTTTTCTTTTTCTTTTTTTTAATATTTATGAAGTAAATTGAAATTTGTTTCTAGGGTCTTTTTGGACATTTTTCGCGAATGCCAGACATGTTTACCAATAGGGTAACCTTTCCAAATGTTTCATCTAATTTTCGTATATTTACGTACAAAACTTGGAAAACAAGGAGTATCGAAAATTGCTTTGTTTATATGTTGATAAACAATGTAATGTGCTTTGTGCCTTGTTTATATGTCAAAAGGAGCACATTTTCGTGAAATAAAGAACCATTTTTTTATAAATCTTATTCAAGGGTTCGTAGAGTATCTGTGTGATGCAGGATGGATCACATCTATGAACTTTAAGGACTTTATATTTTTTTAGTTGAGATATTTTATTACGATGAAGTTATTACTTAGTTATTGGAGTTGTTATTTTGTTAGGATCTATATTTGTTGTTATCTAATAGTTGAGATTTTAGTTGTTATTAGGATTTTCTTTTAGTCCTATAAATAAACTTGTATTTTATTTCATTTGAGGAGATGGAAATTTGATGAATAAAATTTGAGTTTTGAGAGATAAATTTGATGAATAAAGTTGTATTTCTTTTAGTCCCACATTTTCTGATTAGGCGTCCATGTGTGAAATCGGTACTTTCTATTATTTTCAGAGGTTAGATGCTATGAGTGAATCCAGTATAATCTATTTATCTTTAATCTTTCTTTATTTGGTCGTTTATTACTACAAAAAATTAAAAAAGACAAAAAATATTGTTTGCTGCATCACTAGGACTAGATATTTCATATATTTAGATAAATCCATCTAATCTCAGCTTGTCCTCAATCAAATTTTCTTAAAAGTCTCCCTTTTTTTGTTTTGTGTGTGTGTGTGGGGGGGGG